CGTCGTCAATTCCATTTTTAAAAGCTTTCATGCAGGTCAAGAGATTGAGGTGTTTGCCATAGATTAGAGTCACACTCAGGCCTTCTATCAGGCATTATCACCATTCCTCCCATCTGCCGTATGCGCACTTCTTTTCCCCTGTTACCGATTGAGAGTGTCGATCCTTCCGTCTCGACATACTACTTGAATGAAAGATGTAATGACAAGGTTCAGGGGTTAGTGCATGGCTCAGGGGCCCGGTTGCTTGATAGGGGTACAATGGCGGAGTCATTCTGCGGTTTTCCACCAAAGCTGAGAATTAAACGAATGATTGGGTCATTATGTATGGAACCTTTACTCAAATTATGGTGCTCCTTATTGAATTTGAAAGCCGTCCTCCCTCATCTATCGGATCATTTCCGTTCTTTTTTTCCCTCGACTTTCCTAATTTTTTCCATCATCAACACAAAATCAAACAACTACTCTTTTAGGTGATGTTTCCTCCATGAGCAGAACGCCTCACAAATCTCGAGCTTCCCTAAGATCAAGCCCTCTGGAAAACTTGAACAGTGACCGAAACTTTTCATCTCCTTCTCTGTCCTCTAGAAGAGTAGGTCCTCGATTATTAGCGGTAATGATGAAAAGGAAGACTGCGACTTAAATGTTATCAGAGTGCAAATTTATCTCGTTCTTGGCATTTTCTGCCTCACAATTGCTAGGAGTTATTTTTAATTAAGACTCACCTGTTGAGCTCTGATCTCCCGGAGGGACCTTGAGGTTCTCACCTCTGTTTCATTTCCGCAATGGCCCATTGTAGTATCTATACATTTGTAAGCAGAATCGATCAGTGTTACATTGAATTTCACCTTTGCCTTCATCTACCTCTTTTCAGCCTTTGACAGCAGGCCGCGCGAGTTGGCGGGGTGGGTGCGGAGTGAACCGGGGGGATCCAGTATCACTGTGGCGCCTGTACAACAGCCAATGGGAACGACAGGCGCGCGCTACAGCGGTAAGCGAACGCGCTCTTCGCTGGTCTGTCAAGGCCGCTATGGCAGTACGTGAGGTGCCCCTTCTCGCTTCCTCGCGTCGGTGTCTCCCCTTCGGCCCCTCCTCGGTATGTTGCTGTCACTATGGCTGAGCACTAGATTTTGGTTTTTCATTTTGACACCTAACTTCTCTTTTTAGCAGCGGTACTGACTGATGCTGTTGTCTCCCCTTCGTCACAAGCTTGTGTTTGTCTGATTTGTACTGGAAATGGCCTGGAGTTCGGCCGCGACCCTGCTTATTTAACTG